AAGACCGGCCTGGCTGAACAGAGAGTTTTGGCTGGAACTCAGGAAAAAAAGGAGAGTTCCTGTCATTTGGAAGAAAGGGCAGGCCACTCGGGAGGACTGCAACGATGTCGTGAGGTTATGCAGGGAGAAAGTTAAAAGAGCCAAAGCCCCACTAGACCTTAGCCTGGCTACTGCCGTAAAAGACAATAAAAAATGTTTCTATAAATACATTAGCAACAAAAGGAGGGTGAAGGAGAATCTCCATCCTCTGTTAGATGTGGGGGGAAACTTAGTGACAAAGGATGAGGAAAAGGCTGAGGTACTTAGTGCCGCCTTTGCCTCAGTCTTTAACAGTAAGGGCAGTTGTTCTCTGGACACCCAGCCCCCTGAGCAGCAAGGCAGGGATGGGGAGTGGAAGGAAACACCCATAATCCAAGGGGAGATGGTCAGTGACCCGCTACACCACGTAGACACACACAGGTCTGTGGGGCCGGTCGGGATCCACCCGAGGGTGCTGAAGGAGCTGGTGGATGTGTTCGCCCAGCCGCTTTCCGTCATCTGTCAGCAGTCTTGGCTAACTGGGGAGGTCCCAGTGGACTGGAAGTCAGCTAATGTGACGCCCATCTACAGGCAGGGCCAGAAGGAGGATCTTGGGAACTACGGGCCTGTCCGCCTGACCTCGCTGCCGGGGAAGGTGATGGAGCAGATCATCCTGAGTGCCATCACGCGGCACACACAGGACAACCAGGGGATCAGGCCCTGCCAACATGAGTCCATGAAAAGCAAATCCTGACTGACCAGCCCGGTCTCCTTCGATGACAAGGTGACCCGCCGAGTGGATGAGGGAGAGGCTGTGGATGTTGTCTTCCTGGACTTTAGTAAGGCCTTTTGATACTGTTCCCCACAGCATCCTCCTGGACAAACTAGCTGCCCATGGTTTGGATGGGTGTACTCTTCGCTGGATAAAGAACTGGCTGAATGGCCAAGCACAGAGAGTGGTGGTGAATGGAGTTAAATCCAGCTGGCGGCTGGTCACAAATGGTGTTCCCCAGGGCTCAGTTTTGGGTCCAGTCTTGTTTAATATCTTTATCAATGATCTGGATGAGGGGATTGAGTGCACCCTCAAGTAAGTCTGCAGATGACACCAAGCTGGGCGGGAGTGTTGATCTGCTTGAGGGTAGGAAGGCTCTACAGAGGGATCTGGACAGACTGGATCGATGGGCCAAGGTCATCTGTATGAGGTTTAACAAGGCCAAGTGCCGGGTCCTGCACTTGGGTCACAACAACCCCCTGCAATGCTACAGGCTTTGGGGGGGGGGGCTGGCTGGGGGTGCTGGTCGACAGCCGGCTGAATGTGAGCCAGCAGTGTGCCCAGGAAGGCCAGCGGCATCCTGGCTTGGATCAGGAATAGCGTGGCCAGGACTGGGGCAGTGATCGTGCCCGTGTACTCGGCACTGGTGAGGCCGCACCTCAAGTGCTGTGTTCAGTTTTGGGCCCCTCACTGCAAGGACATTGACGGGCTGGAGTGTGTCCAGAGAAGGGCAGCGAGCTGGGGCTGTTTAGGCTGGAGAAGAGGAGGCTGAGGGGGGACCTTATCGCTCTCTACAACTACCTGAACGGAGGCTGTATTGAGGTGGGGGCTGGTCTCTTCTCCCAAGCAACAAGCAATAGGACAAGAGGAAATAGCTTCAAGTTTGGCCAGGGGAGGTTTAGATTGGATATTAGGAACAATTAAAGCACTGGAACAGGCTGCCCAGGGGAGCAGTGGAGTCCCCGTCCCTGGAGGTGTTTAAAAGCCATGCAGATGTGGCGCATAGCGATGTGGCTCAGTGGTGGAATTGATGGTGTTAGGTTAGTGGTGGGACTCGATGATCTTAAAGGTCTTTTCCAACCTAAACGATTCTATGATTCTGTTCTTTCTGCCCTCAAGGTTCTTCCACGTCTCCTTGGCCGCTTTGGGGAGCTCCTTGCACACGTTGGCAATTTTGTTCATTTTCTTTGGCAGAGGATTTAGAGCAACTGCAAAGTTCATGTACTTACCTGTTAGGTGGTTGTGAGTGGACCCTGTATTAAGCTGTCTTCTCTTTATTTAACATTAAAGAAAGGATGCCTTGCCTTTTTCTTTTCTTTGATACCAGCTGTCCTCGTGACTTACCCTGTACGTAGGGTTTGGTCTTTCTTGCTCTTACTGCTCTTTGCGTCGCCGAGCGGAGGGGGAATCCTGGTCGCAGATGGGAGCCTTGCACACGAACCGCCAGAGCAGATCACTGGTGCACGGGGGCTGCTGCCGTAAGCGTATCGTCAGCAGGAGCCTGCACTGACTGTGGAGACGTGAGCTGTGTGGAGAGGGGTGCTGCCTGGAGCACCAGCAAAGGGTGCTTGTGCCGGTGGGGGGAGGGGCTCACCTGCCCTCTCCCAGGCTGTGATCTTGCTTTCAGAACTGCGGTGTGCTCTGAGGATGGAGCTGTGTTCACTCTGAAACCGCTTTCTGAGCAGGGGGAGGATTTGCCTGCTCGTACTGACCTCGTCCTCTCACCTGAAACCCTCATGCTTTGTTTACAGTATGAAAACTGTTTTAAAAAGGATGTGTTGTAAAGACTCTGCTTAACTTGGACTAGAAAGTGAGAGAAGGGTGAAGAAAGCAAAAGGAAGGAGAAACGGTAGTAAGCAAAATGCGGCATATGAGAGATGCCACAGCGCGGGAGGAGGTTACAGACTGGTTTAACAGGGGACTGTCTCTATCCCGCAGGACCTGGAGCATCCCCGAGCAGCTGGGAAATCTCTGCAAAACGCTGAGCCGCTTGCAGCCAGGGCTTGCTTTTGTTTTCTGGCTGCTGCTTGCACACTAACTCCGTAGCTACCACCTGCTTCAGTCCTGGGTTGTCCTGCACTAACAGTCGTGTCCTTTTTGGATTCTGTAGGTTGCAGATATCAAACGCGTCAACAACTTCATCCGGGAGCAGGACTTGTACGCGCTGAAGTCCATCAAGATCCCCGTGAAGACGCACGGGCTGTTAACAGAGAACGGCGGAGAGCTGAGGCAGCTCCCAACGGCGTCCTGCCCGGCCGGCCGGCCGCTGGTGGACTTACCGGAGCCGGGCAACGGAGCAGATGGCAGGTGCCTGAGTGACTACTTCAAGGGGATCGACAAGAGCATTCAGGACGCGGTGCAGGCAGAGGTCCAGCTGAACACAGAGTATTGCATGGACGCGCTGGAGAGGCCGCTGCTTGAGTCGGGGAAGCAGGAGACCAGTAATGGTGCGGACTGTGGAATCCAGTGGTGGAACGCAGTTTTTATTATGCTCCTGATAGGAATTGTCCTCCCAGTATTTTATATCATCTATTTTAAAACACAAGGCCTGGTGGCCCATACCTCCAACACAACACTAACCTCAAATGTTTCCGCAGATGGACTGGAAGGGAAATTGCCACAAAGCTCAGGAGTACAAGGAAAATCCTAAGGGGAGGAGGTGCCCAAACGCAGGCTCTGCTCCTGGCGCTGAAGCCCGCACGCCAGTGACTCAGACTCGAGTGCGTCCGGGGGGAGAACAGTACAGAGTATTTTTATTTTTTTAAGTAGCTGATGGTGTAATCCTGAACTGGACTGAAAGTGAGGTGATGTGATTTTTACAGAAAAAATACGGATACTTTGTGGCTTATAAAGATCGTGGGGCAGCTGGCTTAACATTTATGAACTCTGTGGAGGGGAAGTATTTTGTAGCAGTTTACTCATCTTGGGTTGCTTCAGGTATTTTGTAATGCCCGCTCTAAGAAGCGAATCCTTTGCTGCTGAGAGAAGAGTGCAGTATTAACATGGTCGGAACGCTGAGGGTTGTCGCGTTTTAAGAAAACACTTTTTGCTTAGAGTAGAAGTGGGGACTCTTCTTTTTCTCTGAACTGTCATTTTTATCTCTCGCAGACCACGGCGGTGTTGGCATACTTAGCCCTAAAATGATGGCTTCTGGGGTGCTGAGAGGTGTGCGCTGCGGCGTGAGGCTGCTGACAGCTCCTCACCTTTCCAGCCCTGTGGGCGGCTGTTTAAGCTCTGTGTATTCTGACTCTTCAAGCCCACCTCGGGAAGGGTGAGCCCAGACTCTGCCCCGCGGTGACATCTGCAGCCTCTGCAGGCGGAGCGCGGTGCAGCAGCCGTGCTTTCACCAGGGTGCGGAGCTGGTGTGTCCGCATGACTGCAGATGGCCAGACAGTGCTGGAGGAGGAGGTGAGGGTAGCGTTAGGCCTGCGGTACGTAGCACGTGCTTCTCAAAGGCTCGGGTGGTGGGAGGGGTCCAGGCAGTATTACTGTCTTTTAAAAAAAAAGATAACTGTAGTGGTGCATCTCAAATACCCAACTGCAGTCACGAACTTGGGTTTCTTTGGTCGTGGTCTTCACGTGAGAGAGCAGTGCTAAGTTGCATTTGCTTTGCAAGGGCTGGGGAAGAAGCCCTGCGTTGCCTTAGCGGTGTAAATCCTTCGTCAGACCAGGGCTGTGAAGCTGCTGGGTGGTGCCCACTGCTGACATTTCTGCATTAAAAAGCTGCTGCGGGGGTAGGCGGGGCCAGGGACGTTGGAGGGCTGGTGGTCAGCCGGGGGCTGTGTGGGGCAGGACCAACCTGTGGGCACTGCGTGCTGGAGGGGAACAGGAAAGGTGGCTCTGGGGGACTGCGGGCAGAGGTCGGTGCTCTTAGCGCCAAGAGCTAGGGTGCTCTGTTGCAGAGCTGGGTGGAATCTGGCCGGGGACGGGGTCATGGCTGCTGTTGGCAGCTGGAAGCGGCCCGCTCCATGGCAGGAGGGGTTCCCAGCCCCTTCTCGGGCTGCTTGCGGGGGGCTTCGCTCCTCTCCTGCCCACCAGCGGGCACTGCGGCCCCCGCGACCTGCGGGGGTATGAGCAGGGGCAGCAGCTTTGGCAAT